CCACTCCTCGGGGATTTTTTCTCGAGTTGACATCAGCGCTTCCACAGCTACGAAAGCTGAAGCTTATGCTGCGGAATGAAGGAGAGGGGGATCTGATAAACGCACTGACTGAAACGGTGGGTTCAAGTTCATTTGAGTCTAGCGCCATGCTTACGGTGCTCTTTCGCCAGATAAATAATTTCATCGGTGATCTAGAAGACCTTCGCTGCTTTTCAATCAAAACTGACATCGAGTCGTTCCCCATGTATGCCTCTCATCTGAGTGAGAAGCAAGAAGTGGAGCTGTATCAGAAGTGGCGCAGGTCGTGCCCACGCTTGATCGAGGTTGAATATCTATCCGCTCGGCAGTGGCACTTTGTCGATGGTCGATGGGAGAGGATACAGACGAGCAACTGCTTCGAGGATCGGAGCATTGAGAAAGTATGGTTGAAGGATTTGAAGCCTCCGCGAGCGCATTCAGCCCCCATTTGATTGTTGTACATATTTCGTTCGGTTTTGTTTTCGATTATTTGCGTTAGACCCTGTATTTGTCATTAGCACCTGCACGAGCGATCCAAGAATTTCAACTTGACTTTAACCTCTGTATCTTGACTTGCCTCGATGGACGACCTGTTCTCACACATTACTGGAGATAATGATCCAGCTATGGACAAAGCGTTATCTGGTTCGACAAAACCGAAAAAGAAGAAGCGAAAAGTTGCGGCTGCAGAGGTGGCGCCAGAGGCTATGGATGTTGACGGTGGAGTGTCTAGCGTGCGAGAGGCGGACGTGGCCCCGGCTGTTGAGGAGCCAGTGCCCAAGAAACAGAAGTTTGATGCAGCAGAGCCAGTAGAAATCGATGAAGTTGAAGTTCAGGCTCAAAGAGAAGTGGCGGCCAGTAGTGGGCTCACAGGCCAGGAATCTGAGCAAGGGGCGAGTCTTGTATTGACCCATCAGGTATGTCCAATATTGGTTTGTTTTTGTATCTGCTCACATAATATAGGTTCGACACCAAGTTGCTCTCCCTCCCGGCTATCCATATATTCCTATCAAGTTGCATGTTCCTCCAGAGAAACCGGCGCGAGAATACCCCTTTACGCTTGATCCTTTCCAACAACTTTCCGTCTACGCAATCGACCGAGACGAATCTGTGCTAGTGTCTGCACATACTAGTGCAGGCAAGACTGTTGTCGCAGAGTACGCAATTGCAAAGTGTTTACGAGACAAACAGCGAGTGATTTACACGAGTCCTATCAAGGTGTGTACGATGTCTGGTTTGGGTGGCGCAAGGAATAAATGTTGTTTAGGCGCTGAGCAACCAAAAATACCGGGAAATGTTGGCGGAATTCGGAGACGTTGGACTTATGACGGGAGATGTAACTATCAACCCAACTGCATCATGTTTGGTGATGACTACCGAAGTACGCTAAGCTAGTTCGAATCATGTTGCGGTACTAACTTGTGCTCAGATTCTCCGGTCCATGCTTTATAGGGGTTCAGAGATTATGCGCGAGGTTGCTTGGGTTATCTTTGACGAGATTCATTACATGCGAGATGCAGGTTCGTGTCCACTCACTTACCAGCGATATAATCTCACACAAATTACTGCCAGAACGTGGAGTTGTCTGGGAGGAGACAATTATTCTGCTTCCACACACAGTCCACTACGTCTTCCTCTCTGCAACCATCCCAAACGCCATGGAATTCGCACACTGGATTACCAAAACTCACGAACAACCTTGCCATGTCGTGTACACAAACTTTCGTCCAACACCCCTCCAACACTACCTCTTTCCGTCTGGTGGGGATGGAATATACCTTGTAGTCAACGAAAAGAGCGAGTTCCGGGAAGACAACTTTCAAAAGGCGATGGGGAAACTGGCAGGGATGCAAGGCGAGGATCCAGCGGACCCACTTGGCGGACGTAACAAAAAGGGCAAGACCAAGAAGGGTGGTCCAACCAAAGGTAAGGACAGAACCTGCCCCGTGTTGTCTTCTGACATTTGATTACAGGCCAATCCGACATTTACAAAATCGTCAAAATGATCATGGCCAAAAACTACAATCCGGTTATCGTCTTCGCGTTTAGCAAGCGCGAGTGCGAGGCTCTGGCGCTGCAGATGTCTAAACTGGAGTGCAACTCGGAGGAAGAGCAAGAGATGGTTCAGAATGTGTTTACCAACGCCGTCGCCGCGCTGTCCGAAGAGGATCGACAACTTCCGCAAATCGAGCATCTGCTTCCTCTCCTTAAACGTGGAATCGGTATTCACCATGGTGGACTGTTACCTATTCTCAAGGAGGTCATCGAGATTCTGTTTCAGGAAGGACTCATCAAGGTCCTGTTTGCGACCGAGACTTTCTCAATTGGACTAAACATGCCTGCCAAGACCGTCGTATTTACGGACGTGGAGAAGTTTGACGGCCGATCTGTGCGCCCGCTGTCGTCTGGAGAGTACATTCAAATGTCGGGTCGTGCTGGGCGTCGTGGGCTGGATGATCGTGGTGTGGTGATTATGATGGTCAACGCGAAGCTAGAGCCGGCGACGGCAAAGGGAATGGTCAAGGGCGAGGCGGACCGTTTGGACTCGGCGTTCCATCTTGGATACAACATGGTGCTCAACTTGATGAGAGTCGAGGGCGTGAGCCCCGAGTATATGCTCGAACGATGCTTTTACCAGTTTCAGAACGGCACAAAGGTCCCAGGTCTTGAGGCTCGTGAGTCCGCTGGGATGGGTGATTGGCGTGTACTAATTGTTGTGTCAAGAACTGTCCGAATTGGAGGAGAAGAAGGCTGGTTTTGTCGTGCCAGAGGAAGAATCCATCGCCGAGTACTATGACATTCGGAAGCAGCTTGACGAGTTGGGCAACGATTTCCGGGCTGTGATCACACACTCCACATACGCGTTGCCGTTTTTGCAGCCTGGACGACTCGTCACCGTTAAACACGGGGACCAAGACTTTGACTGGGGAGTGGTGGTCAACTTTTCACAACGTACTGCGCCAAAGGTATGTCCATCGTGTTCAAAATATTTCTCACTAATTAGCTGGGCAGACCAAGTCGGCAGCGGCTGCGTTTGACGCGATTCCACCTCAAGAAAAGTACGTTATCGACGTGCTGCTAAGCTGCGCCAAAGGTTCGACGACCAGTTCCAAGTCTGGCGAGAGCGCTGGTGCGTTTAAGCCTTGTCCTCCCGGTCAAGAGGGAGAGCCGCTCGTGTGTCCTGTGCTGCTTTCGACGATAGCTAGTATCAGTCACTTGCGCGTACATCTGCCCAAGGACTTGCGGGCGTTATCTCAGCGGGAGGCGCTGTGGAAGGTCGTTCTTGAGATCAAGAGGCGGTTTCCGAAAGGTCTTGCTCTGCTTGATCCGATTGAAAATATGAATATCAAGGATGTCAAATTTAAGGAGTTGGTTGAGGTGAGTATTGATGTGACTGTATTGTATTGGTTTAACTCTTTTGCTAGCGCATTGCAACACTCGAGAGGCAGTTAGAAGCCCACAGTCTGCACAACGACCCCCGGCTACCAACTATATACGATGCGTACGCGCAAAAGCAAGATCTGATTGGCGAAATTCGTGCGGTCAAAAAAGCGCTCACGGCCGCGCACGACGTGATGCAAATGGACGAGCTCAAGTGTCGCAAGCGCGTACTGCGTCGTCTTGGGTTCGCGAGCGCGACTGACGTGGTGGAGATCAAGGGGAGAGTGGCGTGCGAGATTAGTACTGGGGACGAGCTGCTTTTGACTGAGATGATATTCAATGGTGTTTTTAACACTTTGTTGCCGGAGCAGTGCGCAGCGCTTCTGAGCTGCTTTGTGTTTGGTGAAAAGGTACGAGTGCGGATGAGTGAGTAATAACATATACTGACCTCTGGGTAGAGTGAACAACAGACGAAGCTCAAGGAAGAACTTGCTGGCCCGTTGAGGGTGCTTCAAGAGATTGCACGACGGATCGCCAAGGTGTCCAAGGAATCCAAGCTCCCGTTGGACGAAGAAGAATACGTACAGTCGTTCAAGGTCGAACTGATGGACGCGGTACTCCAGTGGTGTCGTGGCGCCAAGTTTGTGGATATATGCAAGGTGTGTGATACGCAATCATTGATATTCTTATACTCGAACTGGTTCGTTTCAGATGACCGACCAATTCGAGGGCAGCTTGATTCGAGTTTTCAGGCGACTTCAAGAGCTTATTCGACAAATGACCCAAGCTGCGCATGCAATCGGAAATACGGAGCTCGAAGGAAAGTTTACCAAGGCATCTGAGATGCTTGAACGTCAAAACTCGGTTATTTTCTGCTCGTCGTTGTATCTGTAGATTTGTAGGATTTAGGTGCCTCCGGCCGGGCGGCCCACCGTGCTTCCTCGAGTGCTAAGCACGCAATCTTGATTTTAAACACATAAGGCACACATAACCCTCGTATTCGACCCGTTTAAACTATCTATCATGATCGATTCTGTTGAGGGAGCCGTCAGGTAGTATATTTCCGGTGTGTAGTCTGAGTATATGCATGCGGTTTCCGCCCCCCCCCCCTCCACCATCGTGCACGTCTGGTTATTTGACCGCGTGATCGATACATTCACGATCTCACTCATCAGATACATGAATTCGCACGAACCAGCATAACAGTAAGTAGGCGAGAATGAGACCAGTGTAGAGTCAAGGAGTCCATGCTTTGGCGTCAAAAAGCTCGACTAGACTTTATCTAATTCAGCATATAATCTAGCTAACTCTCTTCCATGTTGTTATAAGGGCGCGATTGTCAGTTCGACGGATGTTCCTGCTTGGTTGGCGGATAGAGGTGCTTATATGTATGTAGACCTTCGCGTATGCACCTAGCTTTGGGGGGTTTTTGCCCCACCCCACCCTAGCCCCCCCCCCCCCCCCTCCCCGGCTTTCTGCCCGCCACGATATTCTGGATCTTGCGCAACGTTCGAAAGCTATCAGTGTGTCCGTAGATAGCTGGCAATTGCAGGATGAGTGCTCTAAGCCATCAGAAATATTTCCTGATATGCACTCATCAACCCTCGATAGCTCAGTTGGAAGAGCGTGGGACTGTAATTGCTTCTGTAAACCACGATCCCGAGGTCACTGGTTCGATCCCGGTTTGAGGGACTTCTTTTTTGACCGGGATCAAACCAGTTGCGTGCTTATTTTGCTCAGAAATGCGTATGGGAGCAGTACAGACAAAGTTCCAAACAAAGATCAGCACTTCCAGCTTGTGGCGCTCATATCTCAGTAGATCCGCAAGCTGAAATTATAAGATAAATATAATTAGATAGCCACACATAAGGGCTATCGAACGGGTATACTCACACTGTATTCGGAGGAGAAACAGTGGAGATATAGATGAGACTGAGCTATGGGTACCTGGAGGTGTATTGGCCCCTGCAACTTGCCCCCCGGCCCCACCTAGCGCTCCGCGCCTGTGTATACTTAGCAGCAATGCATTAGTACTATAAAGTAATTCAGCTGTAAAAGAGTCTTCATAGCTAGTGGCTTATCAGCCCATCTGCTCTGGGTGAGTGAAGACTGATACTTGGGGAATAGACCTTCGACTCTTGGTATCTGCTAGAGCGGATTGTAAAGGTGTATTATTACATTATTGCATATGAGATGAAGCGCAGCAACAGAGTTAGAAGTCCAAGTTTGTAAAACACAGAAACCTTGTTATGGCTGTTTCAGACGGCGTCAGAGATGCATATATATAGCTTTAGATGTCTGTAATCAGAAATTGCTGACTACATAGAGACAGCTTTAGCTTTAAGTTAATAAAGCCTTACCATCTCATTCACTACACCTCCAAAGTGTACGTGTCAAGGACAAAAAACTCGCTAGCCCGAGGTACCACTTGACGTACTCTGACCACTCATTAAAAACTCGTTTTTATGTTAAATTGATTTGGGTCTATTGAGCTCCAGCTGCTCTGAAGCATTCAGTTATAATCACCTAGTAGTCCTTGACTTCCCAACTCTTCAATGTAGAAAGCTCGGGCCGCGAGCGAGAAATCACCTGATGTGACGAGTTCGTTTGTTTGGCACATGGCATCAGCGCCTAAGTTG